CCTAAAAATAGACAGTCTCGTTGCAAATTTACTTATTTTTTATGTATTATAACCTTACCTTTAGGTTTTTGTTCAGAGTAATTATTTTAATTCAATGTTATTGCCAGAATATATTGTTGTGTTAGTTATATTTGACATAAAATGTCAAGTGGACGGGACACCATAACTGACAGTCATGTGTTTTGTGTCGTTCCATTTCTGGTTCCGAGTTCCAGGTAATGGTATTTCTGCAGTGAGCAATTTTAAGTGGCATTTGCTGTACAAGGTGTGTTCATTTAACTGTAGGTTTTTGTACGCGCTTAGGACATTTTTCTAAATATAGTTAAATTGTATATAAATATAGTTTGTAGGGTAATTTTTCGTAAATAAATAAAGATATATATGCTGATAAATTCTTAGGGATTAATTTCTAAATCCACACGGCTTGTCATTTATCAAGGCGAGAGGGGAGACATCGTGGCAGATTTGTTGGTTAGATGTATCTGACAGGTAAAGAAAGACAGAGAATCTCATATTTTTGTCTGAGGAGTAAAATCTTTATTTTATCTAACCATCGAGTTATCCTATTATAGGGGATTCTAGATTTTAATCCAGTATTAATTGTGGAATAACGGGTATATAATATTTTTGGGGAATTTCGTTATTGGGTTAAATTTCCATGGTTTTTAGACCCATTCCATACTCGCTAAAGGAATTTATATGCATAAAAATTGTGAGTATGACTAATTTTAACAGATTTTGAGTTATTAGTTCGTTGTTTCATACAGGGAGGTCCATCGACATTTGAGTGTGTAATTTTAAAGTGGATTCTTCAATAGTGACTACTGCGGACTGTCTTGCTTGTTTTTTACCCTTGGAATGCCACCAGTTTAACTTTTTACGAGAAAGGTATGGTTTGTATATTTTTGATAATATTGTACACCTTTTGATTGTCGATTTCTTGCATGTTATGATTTGGTGTAACGGAATTTTAAATATTTGAGTTCATAATTTTGTTTATTGTGTTTCAACACTAAACGTTGATGTTTAGATTTAGGTGCGGATATGCACATGAATATTCATATTTTTAATTTCACAATTGTAGAAGGTAGAAATTAAGATTTCCCTATAGTTGCATACAATTTTGCGCAAGCATCTTTCGCCTAGTACCAAGCTAACGACTAACCGTTGGTGAATTATTTTCGTTCTATTTTTCTGCATATTCTATATACATTTTTTTTAATTTCTCACCATATTTAGTTTATTTATGTCATCATCAAAAACCATTAAGTAAATAATTTGTAAGAATTAATTGGGAAAATTGGTAAATTTTTTCATAAAGGAACATATGTTGAGGTTTGTCTTTTATTTCTTTCCTCATTTACTGGGTTTGTGGGGAAATAGTTTGGCCACTTTATAAACCCAGTTGGCGCCTTTTATTTGTCTACTATTTCCAGAATTTTTTTATAGCTATCCACCCCCTAGCTGCCGTCTGAGTGACGTCAAAGGCTCAAAGGTTAACACTGGAACAACCGAAACTTGTGTAACCAAAGTAGACAGGATTTTATTGACAAAGTGATTTTTTTTTATTTTTAAAGTTTAATTTTAGGCACTTCCCTTTTGGAAGTTGTCTAGAACTTTAGGTAGGTTACAACCTTAACAACAAAATATTAAACATTATTTTTAAACCCCAAAGGAGAATTTAATAAAAATTTGAAAAAATTTTGCTTGCGGGGGAATCGAATCCATCTACTCCTGTTCTATGGACAGTCACTCTTCCAATTATATCATCGCTGACATAATCAGAGATTTAAAAATGTGCAAGATGAATATAAGATTTAGAATCAAACCTCGCGTTTCAGAAAAAAAAAAAGGTGGTTTCGAATCCTACCGCGGGCAAATAATTTTTAACTTTTCATTAAAGTTCTTTTCACTGTGAGGAATGAAAAATAATTTTCATAATTTTGTAGGGGTAATAATAAGATTTTTTTGGGGATTTCCTGGTAATTTATTCTTATATTTTTTGTATATTTAACTGATTAGTTTTTAGAACTTTAAAAACGATTCTCTCACTAAATTTTATACTACAAAAAAGTTGGGTGGTCAAATAGGCGGTGACCTCCAAAAAATCTATAAAATCGAGAAAAAATGACTGCCTCTACCTCTTTTTTTATTAGTCATTGTATTCTAACGCCACATGAAAAAATGTAAAACGGTTTAAACGCAACGTTATAACAAAATAATTTGAATTGTTAAATTTGACCACCATGTAACTGTTTATGTTCACTTTTATAATAAAGTTTAATCGATTTATTTTTGACAACAGAATATGTGGTATAATTTATGATCAAACTTTTTTAGACCAATTAGTTTACCTTCATCAAATAACAGGTATTTATGTTGTAAATACACATTTTAATAACTATAAATAAATCAATAAACGTTACACAGAGTAAAAAACACAATTATTACCCACTGAAACTAAAAATCATCATAACCGCAAGAAACAGTTTACTAAAAGTAGAACGTGTAACATTTTACTGAACTAAATTTTTTGCTGTGAAAATATAAACCCCAATTCTACCAACGAAATTAAGGAATTTATGGCATAGCAATTGATAATGACACTGAGGGTTATACTTAAAAGATTCAGGTTCGATCCTGACAGAGTCACTAATTTTTGCTTTATGTCTTAGTTCTTTTAGTCTTTCTCTGTTTTTTTTTACTTTGGGCATATAGAGTTAAATTCTATAATTCCGTAGTATGTTCCAAAAAATGCATAATTTAGTTTTTCTAATTTTGGTATGTAAAGTGACATTTTTTGTAATCGCTACAAGTGTCACAATGACCTTCTTTACGCAACCTGTTGGTTAAACCTAGTAATAATGCTGTTTTGGTCCTTATTTTTCATTTAAAATTAGCACAAAATAATTAGAGCATAATACACGACAACATGAACTACTTTTTTGAAAACTAAATAACTTTAATAAGCAATATAAACACACTACAATACACTTGAAAATATATAATTAATATGATATATTTGTTAATAAAATGATGCATATGTAACTAAAAATTCAAGAAAGTAATATTGATTGCCTAGATGTCAGTAATGTTTTACTAAAACACAATTTTATAAATATTCTAGACAAAATTAGAAAACAATATTGTATGTAACACGTTACAAAATACCGCTTTATGTAAATCGTTCATGTAGCGGGACCTCGCTCTACTTGTCCGTCAAATATTCACTCATTACATGAAATAGGGCATTTCGTAACTGGTTGCATAAATAACTATTTCGGAACGATTACGATATCCTAACCATTTTTATATCTTGTGGTGTCCCATTAGTGCGTAATTGTTCAATATTTATATTTGTGTTATACACACGGAAACAAGTTTTAAATATAAGTTATATGAATTTGAAAAATACATATTTTAAACTTTTTTTTTTGACATACAGGGTGTTGCGTTTTTGCCTAACAAATAAAAATGTATGTTTTTCAAACAGAACACCATGTGTTTTAGTTTATTTTTAGAATGGTTTGGTAATACTGTATTTAACCCTAAAATATTTTTTTTAAACATTGTAGTGTTGCCAAGCAATTATTTTTTTTTAATTAGGGAATGATGCAGACTCTAAATTAGATTATCATAATTTAGGTAGGTTTACATTGATTTCTAAATTGTGTAATATATAGATTTATAAGATACTTAGATAACAAATAGTGGTAATAGAACTGGTTTATTTTATACAGAGTGTTTTGAAACATGTCTTAAATATGGCTAATTATGAGTTTAATTTACTAAATTTTTTCAAATATAACACCCTGTATATTATCTTAGCTTAAAATTTCTTTTAAATTTGTCTATACAACGATACCAATATGTTCGCCACTAACACATCAGTGCATAATCTATCGATAGCTGTTTTTTTTTTTGTAAAAATAACGAAGAAATTTTTTAATATAAAAGTTGTATGACTATATTTAACAATTGAAGGGCTCGGCGGAAGAGGGTATTAAGCCACTCCAAATTAGTTTGAAGTAATTCACATTTTAATATTTTATTTAAATCGTGAAATCACATTTACAAAGGAAACAATAAGTATTTTATTTCAGTTTAATACCAACAAGTTTATTTTACAGACTACCTAATTACTCAAGAAAATATTCTAGATCAAGAAAAATAAATGAAAATATAACAAAAAATGTGGCTTGTTATTTTTATTAAATTTATTTGTAAACTTAACTTAGTCAATCGAAATTCAAACATCATCTGAGACATTATCATTGTCATCGAAATGTTCTACATTGTCTTCTTCCATATCTCCACTGCTGAGTTGTACGTTTTCTACAACGAGTTCTCTATAAAATTCGTGATAGACAGGAGGAAAATAAGGAAGGAGTGCTTCGAGATTTGCAAGTTTCTTTGGATTGATTGCTATGAAACTATTATACTTCAAGGGAAGCTCGCTAAACGTTGGGAATTTTGACGTTTGTATACCTCTTTTTCCAATATAATGGATTTAAATGACTCATTCAAATAGTGTTTTACAAACATTGTATTAGAATGTTCTGTTTGAAAACGAATCACCAGCACAACTTCAAATGGATTTTTCTTTTTTGCATCTCTAACAGCTTCATGCCACTGATCTGGACTGTAAATCTGCTTCAAATATTTTTTATGCTTTTCGATACCTGCAAAATCTCTATCTGGTGGTAAATGGGTATGGCCCGGTATGAGAAATCTGATGTTCGATGCTCTTAAACTTTTATTCTCGTATCATCTGCAACCAAAGAGACATAAGTGTCCAGTTTTTATTTTGTCTCCCGCAATTATCAGTAAATACTAAAAGTTCTTCTGTTTGGGAGAACGTGTCATTAATAAACTTTAAAATACAACTGGGCAATTTTGTCACTACCACGTACATAAATGCTTGACCTGTGTTGCATTTATGCATTCCAAGAATATACAACCAAGCTTTTCTTAAATAAAAAGCTTTTCTTACAGTTAGGTCAGAAATTGAAAGTGCCTGCTGAAGAGCAAACGACTAGCTTCTTGTTTAGCCTCGTAGCCTCGTCTATTTCCTGTTTTATGTTAGCTTGGATTGCTTCCGCTCTTCTTTGATATATATCTGACTGGATTTTAATTTCTTTTAACTTTGACTCATTATCTTTATTTGATTCCATTAAAATCTTGTTCTGGTCGCATGTATCGCTTTTTGGAATCATGAAGCCAATGTTATATTGGTTACAGAAAATTTGCTGGTAAGTGTCTTCTTTAACAGGTGCAGTACCATGCTCTGTGCACCATGGCTTATAGTGTTTCTGATAAAGGGAAGCAACTGAAAGATCATGGTCAATATACACTCGATTAGGATTACCTTTCCTACTACAATGGCTTGAATACTTAGGAATGGCTTCTATATGGTCCTGTACATTTTTAATCATTTCTTCAGGTGATATATTCTTCCGGTTGAAGTACTTTCTTCGCTGGTCACATTTTGAAATTGTATTTCCTTCGCGAATTTGCTTGCATATAATGTAAATACGTTTCTTACTGTTAGACTGTGCACTGACAACAATTCTTCTTTGCATATTTTTTTGTCGCCTTCTTGAACCTTTATTGAATACACAAAAGTGACTGCTCGAGAAGACCTTTGACGTTTTGTTTATTTTTGGATAATGTCTTTTCTTAGGTTAACACTTTATTGATCTCAACAGATAGGCATTCTGCTTGTCGTAAGAGCCAACATTCCAGAAAGAGTAAAATATTTTTTTCTCATTTCCAAAAAGAGAAGCTCTGCTTTTATTTTTACAACCGCAGGGTGGACCCAAAATTCGTTTTCATATGAATGACCCAAATTTATTTTCTTGTTAGCCTTAACTTGGCTTCTTCTTTCAATATTTTTTGACCGCCACCTGGACTGCTCTTTCTTCTCCGGAGTTTCAATAGCTCCTCTGGATATACCTTGCGCCTGAAATTTAATGAAAAATTATGTACGGAGGAAGGTAACAAAACACAAAAACTTTAAAATACCCTCAGAATGCGCTGCTAAATATTGGTACATTCTTTTTAAACATGGGTATTTTAGGGTATTTTTTATCAATTTTTACTAACAACGGAAAACAGCACGTGAATAATATAATAAAAGAAAAGACTACGACTAGGTGCTAAGCCACTGTTTACCAGAAAAGCGGAAAAATTGTTTGCTTAAAAGGTAATAAGCCACATTACTTTTAAACTTACCAAAACTAGACTGTCTTCACTACTGCCACTATCACTACTTAATTCCAAGTAATCTTTATCTTTTACACTATCATCTGAGTCGAAATCCGATTGGCTAGAACTAGAACTATTATCGTTTACAAACACTTTACGCTTAACGCGTGCTACACTTGGCGTGGGCATGCTGATTTCTATGTGGCTTGTTACTTGTTACCTTCTTGGGTCAGAGATGCTTATACAATAAGAGTAAGTAAAAAAGCATTTATTGCACAGTGTTGCCACTGCTTCTACAAAGTCGCTGAATAAAATTCTGTGGCTTGTTTCCCTTTTTATATAACTAACTACATATTCAAACTGGGATCTTAGAAAATGGGGCTTGTTACCCTCTTCCTCCGAGCACTTCAATTATTCTTAAATATCCATAAACGAGTTGTTGATCAAATCTATAATTTTATAAAGCGAAACATCCTGTAGGTGGTTATTCACATTTTGTCGTTTTCACATCGTCAAACAATTTAAATTGACTTCATTAATTTTCTATGTTGAATATTGGGTGTGTCAAAACGCGATGTTACGATTTTCTTATATTTTTAAATGGAATACCCTGTATTTATTAATTGGTGGTATACCATATGGGGTATTCTATTTAAAAAATTGAGATAATTGTTACCACGCAGTTTGACGCACCCTATATACAACATAGCAAATAAATGAAGTCTATTAAAATTGTTTGACGATGTGAAAACCATCAATATGTATAACTATCTGCAGGGTGTGATGCTTTAAAAATGTATAAGTTTGGTCAGCCCCTCTTTTATGGATCATTTTGTATGTTTAATAATATTTATTAAACATTGTCATACAACTTTATATTTTTTTTTTTTTGAGTTTCCAATAACAAAACAGTTATCGATCAATTACGCACTCACTGATGGGACATCCTCTATATGTGTTATTGGCTAACATGTTGGTATCGTTGTACAGGTAAATTTATAAGGAATTTTATGCTAGAATAATATTGCATCTGAAAAAATTGAGTAAAATGAACTTAAATTGTCTATTATTAAGACATGGTTCAAGACACTTTGTATAAAATAAACCAGTTCTATCACCACTATTGGTTATCTTATAATTCTTTATTAAAAACAATTTTAAAATCATTGTAAACCTAGCTAAATTATGATCATTTAGTTTGGAGTCTGCAGCATTCTTAAAATTAAAAAAAAAAAAATTCTTGGCAACACCGTATTACCAAACCATTCTAAAACTAAAATAAAATACAGGGTCTTCTATTTAAAAAACGTACCGTAATCTGGGGCAACTTACTCACCTATGACGTAATTTTTGTTTTTGTTTATATTTATCGGGCTGTTTTTTTTTTTGGTAGATTTTGAGGTCTCTCTTGTTTGTTTCTGATAAATAGTCAGTGAAAATGGTAAGAAAGTACCAGAGAACCCCCGGGGAAAAGCCTTATCAAGATTATTCTAAAGAAAATTTGAAAAAAGACATAGAAGATGTTGAAATGGGTATGTCAAAAAAGTTAGCTGCCGAAACATATAAAATACCTAGGACAACTTTAACTCGGAAGATATTTGGAGGGTACGAAACCACTCTCGTACCTCCATTAGCATTGTGATGTGCGGAAACGTGAAGGGGGAGCTCCTGCCTCCCATAGTTGTCTATAAATCTGGACACCTCTTTGAAAACTGGACAGAATGAGGCCCTCCAGGAACGAAATATACAAGCAGCTCTTCTGGTTGGTTTGACATGAATTTGTTCGAGATGTGGTTTTTCAAAATCCTCCTCCCGCACATAATGGAAACCCAAACACCCAGTGCCACATCTGTTGTGGTGGGTGATAACCTCGCCAGCCACTTTTCGCCTTTAGTTATTCAGTCCTGTAAAGAGCATGCTATTTATATTACTCCATTCCCTGCAAACATTACGCATCTAATGCAGCCACTAGATGTGGCTGTATTTGGACCGATAAAGAAGTACTGGAGAAAGATTTTAGACCAATGGATAAAAGAAAGCCGATATCCAGGAAATCCTCTAAAAAATAGTTTTCCAATTTAGTCTCTAGGTTATGGAACGGCATGTCTGACACTGTCAAGCTAAATTTGATATCTGGATTTCGAGCCACTGGGCTTTATCCACCTGATCCAAACGATGTCCTGAAGAGAATTCCTGATGAAATCATACCACACGATCGAGACGCAATTGAAAGATCTCTTGATGCATCATTGGTAGATCTTTTGAGAGAATACAGAGGAGTTGGCAGAGAAGCAAATACGAAGAAAAAAAAAGGGCAAGAAAATTCAACCCGGTAAAAATTTGGCAAGAGATGCAGATAATGAAGTGGCTACCACAGATGCCAAGGATAAACCTATTGTAACTGTCCCTATAGACCTTGTAGGCCCCAATAAAACCATTAAGTCTCCCACTACTCAAGCATTGGAGCCACTAGATGTCCCAGGACCGTCTGGTGTAGTTAGAACGAACAAAATTAAGAAGAAATCCCGTCCAATTCAGCGTAGACAAAAAAAGTGAAAGACAAGTTAAAAGTCAAACACATAAGAAGTGTGGCCTTTGTTTTTGTAATTGGAAAGACTTTCATGGCGGACAAGATTGGATTAAATGCATGCAGTGCCTTAAGTAGATATGTGACCCATGCAACAACGAAAGTAAAGATTCTTATTTTAAATGCGATTACTGTGACGATTCAAAAGCATCAGAACCGTTGGAATATCAAGATGATTCTGGGGCAGACAAAGACTTCATACCTAATTACCTAATTAAGTTAATGAAGGTAAGAGTTACCTAAGTTTATAATAATAATAATAATAATTTTAATAATAATTTATTCACATAAAAACAATAAATACATACTTATAAAACTTGTGATACAAAAGAAAATTAATGGTACCTATGTGAATAAAAGAAAACTTACGAAACATAAAATGTCTGTGTGTAAGCATGCTTTTGCATAATAAAATAAAATAAACATACATATATAGATTAATGATTAAAAACATATTAAAACTAAAACTAAAAACTAAAATTAAAATCAAATTAAAAACAATTTAAAAATTAATTAAAACAAATCAAAAACAATTGTAAGAAATATACTATTTGTTGGATGATTTCTTTAATTTTTTTTGCGTTTTTTTTATACGTTTAGATTGTTTTTTTTTATTTTTTGTGTTTTTGTTTTTTTCCTATTTTATTCCTAATCTAACAATTTTTTTATTTCTTGTCGCGGTAGTTGCATCAGAACTTGTTGAATTTTTTTTTTCAAGTTTTTTGTATTTACATTATCTGTATTTTTTAGAAACAAATTTAAAACTTTATGACCCAGATAATTAAAACTTCTTTATCCTATAAACTTAAACATAAAAGGCAAGATAATGTCCTCCCTTTGTCTTGTGCCGTACTTATGTGTTCCAGTTTTGAGGGAATGTTTCGTCATAAACTGAGTATTGCATGCTTGAAGAAAGAATAGCTGACGACAGTCTAATATATTTGTATCTTTATATAGTTGATCACTTGCACACAAAGCCTCTCTATTTAAAATAATACGTAAAAATCTTCTTTGAAGAATTTCCAAAGAATTTAGGTGAGTTCTAGTAACACCGCCCCATTCTAAAATACCATATCTAATATGCGGTTCAACTATACTTTGGTATACTATAATTTTTTTTTAATATCCAGTATCTCTGAGATCTGTTTGTACCTATATAGAATTGATCTAAGTTTCTTTTCTAAAAAATCAATATGTACGTTCCATTTTAGCATACTATCAATGAAAATACCTAGATATTTTATTTGGTTTGCAGGTTGAATTTGAATTGTGTTTTGGACAAGTTGAGAGTATTGCCTGGGTTACATTTAAGAGTTCCTTTTTATGTTTTATAAGTTATTTTTGTACCTATATGTATAAGTTTAATACATTTTTTCAATATTTTTTTTGTCGTTATTTTTTAGTAATAATCTAATAAATTGGCTATTTATGAAAATTTTGAACAGAAAAAAATAACTATGGGTTAATTTCATTTTTTTTTTTCAAGTGAATCCAAGGTAACCTGGTCATGCAAACCATTAAAAACGCTCATTTATTAGAAATTCCCAAAGGTGACCTAGTTGTCCCAAACCCGGTCACCCTATATTTATATTTTTTGTTTATAATATAAAACAAAAACATGACTTTTTGCAAATGTTAACTGTTTCCTTATGACGTCGCTTTGCAAAAAAAATGGTGCAAATGCGTTAAAAAATAAAAAAGATATTTGGGGAAAAAGTCCGAAAAAGGTGACCAAGTTGTCCCAGATTACGGTACAGTTTTATTTGCTAGGCAAAAATGCAATATGCT